GCTGGCAGTGGGGATGGCAAAACGTGCTGAAGGAATAATGGCAAGATCATTTATTAATTTAACTGATGCAGCCACATTAAGGAGAAGGGGAAGCCTGTGGGAGACTGAGATTTGCAGCCCATGAAGCGCAACAGTCAGAAAAGTCAGAAACCAGAAGAAGCCTTTTCACTGCCCCTGATGCCCCAAGGAATGTTTGATCTAAGGAAATGCACTTTTCTGCCCTCAAGGACCATACAAAACAAGCAGCTGCTGCCGATGGCAAGAGAAGGACAACAGCTGCCTGGTTAAACACGTTGCATAAATACTTATAAAAGTGTCAAAAAACTTATAACCGCTTCCAATTTATTGCTTTGGCACTTGAACTGTAAAAGTATTGGAGCAGGAGGAAAGGGATTAGTGAATAGTGTGTTTATAGGACTGCTGCCACCCAATGTCAAGTGAGAGTATAAATATAATCAGAAAGACCACAGAGATGGGATTTCAACCAAAGGCCTCCTAGGTTTAGAACAATAAATACCTTTAACCAGATCTGCTTAAAGGAGCAGATATTGGGATTATAATCCCCCCCCCCCCTTTAATTTTTTATCTCCCCCTCTTTCAGTGAGGCAACTGCTTATTTCAGAACGAAGCAACAAACACACATTAGACTTTATACTGCAAAAACCAGTCATGTTAGAAAGACAAGAGAGTTCCCCTGAAGGAGCAGCAACTGAGGGGTCCCAGCCCTGTCCTCCAAACCCACAGAATTTACACTCCCAGCCTCTAAAGCCTCTCTTGTGGACAGACATACTTGCAGTAACACCCAGTGGAGAACACTTGTTCCTAAGACACAAACCCTAAAGCACCAAAAGGACCCTAGGGAAAATCTGGCACCCAACTCTGGGTTTTCTGGGAGAGGAAGGAATCAACACGGGTCACAAACTCCCAGCCAACACTGGGTTTTACCATTAAATGCCCAGTCCCTGAGGAAGCTACTGGGCCAAGCCCCTAGTGCAGTGAAAAACAGAGACTGACAAACTGGGCTGACAGGCATGGCATGGCAGCTCTCCTACAACAAGCAGTGGGATGCAGTGGATTTGGGAAGCATCATCTCAGCGAGGGTCACTTCTGGGTTCTGGCATTTCCACTTAGCCCTTTCAGAGCTCAGATGCACAAGAAGCACAGGAGTGGAGCTGGGGGATGCAGCACCGAGGTGGTGCCACCTTCCCCTTCTGCCCAGACACAGTCCCTTTGGGATGCTGCTGTTTGAAATGTGCCATCCCCTTCTTCCCCTGCTCCGTGAGAAATGACTTCACATGTTCCTAAATCTATCTGTGCACACTTGGTCTGTAAATCACGGAGGGATCCAAGTGCCACTGCCAAAGATGCTGAGGTGCATTACTCACCAGTAACACATCATACTGCAGCTAAGCTCATTTCCCAGTGCCCTTAACAGCCGGTCCTGCCACCAGCCTCTGCACAGGAGGACTCTGCAGCCAGTCTAGAGCATCCCCAAACCACCTCGTTGCCCTGTCACAACGCAAAGCAGCCCCCGGGGCTCCACAGCAGCTGCCCGTGCAGAACACGGATAAAAGGAGGCTCCAGAGAGGATGTGTTCGTGACCCCACTTCCCTCATCTGGCGCTCAGACCTCATCCGGCAGGGATGCTGCTGCGTGAGGAGCAGAACAGAGAAGCCAAGTCGTTAAGGTATCTTGAGACAATGTGAATATGACATCCCGAAAGACAACGAGGCATTACTTCTCTCACCCTTTTCTCACCTCCTTTCCTCCATCAAGCTCCCCGGGCCACTACAAC